GCGTTGGGTGGTGGTGGTAGGAGGGCAGGAGAGACAGGTAGGCAGCGGATGGATTTTGCAAAGGGCCGGGTGGCCAAGGGGCCAGCGCGCGTGTGCAGGGCCTCCTGAGCTGACATAAGCAGAAAGGGCCATTTTCTGCGCAGGGTAGGGTTGGCCCAGGGCCGTAGGAGGCCCTACGGCTAAAAACGCCGTGGCTGCCCCTCAGAAAATGGCCGTGGGTAGTCGTAGGGGGCCCTATGGCCAAAAATGCCGTATGAGATTGCCGATTCCTGACCGTAGGTGGCCTACGCCCATTTTTTAGCGTAGATGACCCCCGATCTCCCGATTTCAGGCCGTAGGTCAGCCTACAGCAAAAAACCACCTGCCCTTTGATGCTAGCTATGAATCATTGGAAACGTCGGAGAGGATGCCTCTCCTGCATCTCTGATGCTTGACAGCCTTGCTTCCGCTCTACTCTGCTCTGTCTGCATGCACAGCTCACCTTGCCATTGCCTGCTGGTCTGCTGCTGCTCTGGTGAGTTGACTGTTGCCGCTCTTATCCTTCTGCCACTCTGCTGCGTGCCATTGCTGACTCCTTTGCTCCCCTCTTCCTTTGCCTGCTCCTTGCTCACTGCCTTACTTTGCTGCCAAAAATGCTCTGCTGTTGCCTGCTGCTGCCCTGCTGCCACCTTGCTCTACCACCATTGCCGCTGCCCTTGTTTGTACTGTGTTAGTATTGCAATTGAATGATCGTGCAGAAGATACAGCTGAGGGGGCATGCTTTGCCTGCAAACCTGGTATCAATGCTGTCATATGGCCCTGGGTGCGTAGGAGTCCTACGGCCCGAAGGCCAAAGATGTAGACCGGCTGAGTACGGCCCTGAAGGTACAAAGGAGAACTCCAACTCCTGAGGCCATAGCTCAATTCCTGCCGCTAGCTATGACTCTCAATCTGGATTGCACAGCGTAATTGGAAAAATTGGGGATTGCTCTTACTGCTAGCTATGACTACCATCAACCCTGGCCCGCCACCCCCATTTGACTGATGTTGATGCCACCCAACCAACATCAACGCCACCAACTCATGACCGAAATCAAGCCACTTCATCCCAAACCAATCATAGCTAGCAGCAAAAGTAAATCCCGATTTTTCCTATCGCACAGGCTGTGCAATTTAGGATTTGAGAGTCGTTATACAAGTGCGATCTGAAATCCTGGCCACTATGAGTAGATTTCAGATCGCAGGCAGGAAAATTTAGGATCTCAGATTGCAGCTGATCACATGCCTGCTGCGATCTGAGAAATTGCACAAGCTGGCTGCAGCTGGATTTTCAAATCGTTATACATGTGCGATTTTTTTTCAACCAGATCCTGCTGATAGCTATGATTGTAGGTAGGCCCCAAAATCTGGATTTCAGATTGTAGCTTGTCATACATAGACAGGAATCAATGCCTGATTTCAGATTGTAGCCTGCCTGTGACCTAAATTGGGCCCAACCCTGCTGCTAGTTATGATTGTAGCTGCATTTTGATCGTTGCCTGGCTACAATCAACAAAAATTGTAGATAGACCAGTCTCTAGCTACGATCTGAAAATCGTAGGCAGGATACGACCGAAAAATCCGCACGACTTATCTGGATCCAGAAATCGTTTGTGTAGAAGGATCCCCTCCGATCTGAAATTCGTAGACTGGCTACGCCTGCCTACGATCTGGCAGATCATAGGTTGGCCGCCCTGCTGGCTATGCCTGCTGCTAGCTATGACAGCCGTGGTTGCGAGTTTGCACAGGCTATCCAATTCGCTGCTCGCGATAAGTCTCAGTCTTGTAACAAGCGTTATGCCTGTTTGATCTGACTTGGCTTTGGCGTGCGTACACTGGTGGATCCGCCGAGGCTGCCCCGAACAAGCCTTTTTCTGGCACCACGAGTGCCAATCAGGGGACGGCCTGGATGATTTCTACTCGCTCTCCTCGACATCTGCCGTCTTCTTCTGCTTGAAGAAGCTCTGTCTCCTGGCTTCGCGCTCTTCCCTCCAGCCTCGCTCGCCGGGAGCCGAGTGACCCTCGGCAGCGACGCCGTGTTGGGCAGCGCTGGCAAATTCACGGGGCGTGGGCCTGGCATAGGAGCCCTGGATCGACTTTCCCGCCGCGTCAAACGTTCCGACCAGTGCAGCAAGTGCGGCGCACGATCCAACCATCATTGGGAGTGATCGCGCTAGAGGATGGGGCGAGTAACGGGGATGACGATGATCCCGTGATCAGGGGGTAAGCATGACTGGCCGGACCACGGATCGGACCGCTCAGTTCGTCCAGTAGAGAGACAGTGCGGGGGCAACAAGACTCACCGCCGGCACCCAGGACAAGACCAGCCGCGCATCCGCCTGCCGCTCCGTTGATTGCGTCCGTCTTTTGTCGAAAGTTGGCCACAGTGGCATCGGTGTATGAGAAGATGCCGCCCATGGCGGCTGCGGGACGAGGGAAGTAGAACCAAGAAGGCACAAGGGCACTCGGGGACTTGTCAGAGCTGTCCGTCCCCGAGGTGGCCTAAGCGCTTATCCCGAGGCATGAGTTCCGGCCCTGTCGATTTGAGGATCGACTCACTGAACAGGGCAATGGTGCTTCCGGTCCTTGTGAAGACGCCGAGGGCTCCCTTGTTGTGGGTTTGCATCGAGTTCTGTACGGCGGAAACGAGGAGGCCGACGCCAGCACTTGCACCGGCAGCCGTCATGCCATCGGCGACGGGGGCCCTCTCGAGGAAGGTGTCGGTGTCTGGTTGCTGAGCACCGGCCATTGTGAGTATGCGTTGAGCGTGCGACCCGTCAGGCTGGAACGGAAGGGAATCGAAGTGAAAAGTGCCAAGCGCCTTCGTCTGCAGCGATGTTAGGCGGTGCGATCGCTGTGCGGTGGATGAAGCTGCTGACGGGGAGCGTCCGGAGGGGTGGTGCGGTGATCAGGGCGGGATGGTGATGGGTGGGAATAGCAGTGTTCCGATGATCGCGCTGCGGGGCAATGGTGAGGGCGAGTTCGACACGGCACCTTCCTCGCTCGCCCCGGCCTGCCCGCCTGCCTGGCCTGGCCGTCCGCCCGACGCTCGCATCCGCAGAGGTTCGTAGACGGGCCGACCATTGTTTTCTCGCGCGATTGAGTTCCTGGCGCCTAGCCAGCAGGGGCTCGATCACCTGGCCGGCCAGGCGGGCACGCGCGCACGGACACCCTCCACGTAACCGACCTGCAACCCCACTTCGTCCTCCTCCACCACCACCACTCTCGCAACCACCCCCAAGTACCCGCCCCGCTACCTCCCGCTTCCCACCGCGTGCTAGGCTTTCCATACCTTCAGCTACCCTCCTTTCTGCTACATCGACAAAGACCAGGCTAGCCTGCCATGGACAACGCTATTCAGCAGTTTGTCGCCATCACCGGCTCCACGCCCGAAAAAGCTACGTGGGTACCCGTCGCAGTACCTCGTGCGAACGCCGCAAGTACCTCTCATCTGACACATGCTTCCGTGCGCTTCCCCCCCAAAGCTTCTTCCTCGAATCCGCTGATGGGGACTTGCAGACAGCTGTGTCGAGCTATTACGAGTCTGAGGCCTCCCAGCCTGCCGAAGTCGAGGATGGCGACAACAATGCCAGCATGGCGCCCGCTGCACCCGCATCTGCTGCGCCAACAGCTGTGCCCGACAGCTACACCGGACCCAGGACTCTCTCTGGCCAGCCCGCCTCCTCTGCAGATGGCGGCTTCGGCTCAACCTCTTCATCGCAGCGCGGCAGTGGAGCCAACACGCCCAGCAGCCGCCCAAGCGGCCGATCGGGCGGGATCTCGACTTTCCGCGACCTCGTCTCGTCGCAATCCGGCTCCTCTCGTCGCGGAGGCAACCAAGATGGCGAGGATGATGACGACGACACCGACGACGAGATGAACTACTTCACTGGCGGAGAGAAGAGCGCCCTCAGTGTCGAGAACCCCGAGGCGAGGAGGAGGAGGGAGATGGGCGGCAACGATCTGGTCAATCAGATCCTCAAAAAGGCTGCAGAGCAACGTAGGGAGGACGGCGAGGGAGTCGCTGGTCCATCGTCCTCGACTGCTTCGTCGCAAGCCTTCACAGGGCGAGGCAGGACCATCAACGATAGCGGAGCGGCCGAGACTGAGGCTTCGTCGGTGCCCTCTTCCTCGATGCCTGGTGGTTTTGGTGCGACGGACCGCGACAGCGCGGCGGGAAGCGACGATGCAGACGAGGAAGGCGACGGCGAAGTGGCGATCCGACACCTGACCTTCTGGCAGGATGGCTTTTCCATCGAGGACGGCCCGCTGATGCGGTACGACGATCCCGCCCATGCCGCGACTCTCGACGCCATCAATGCCGGCCGTGCCCCGCTCTCGCTCCTAAACGTTCGTTTCGGCCAGCGCGTCGAGCTTCGCGTGGCTAGGCGGATCAACGAGCAGTACATCCCTCCGCCGATGAAGCCATTTGGCGGCTCCGGCAACCGTCTTGGCAGTCCCGCCCCCGCTACCATCGCGGGCTCGTCGCGATCGACCGTCGCGGCCCCGACCCCGCCGACGTCTACGCCGGCGACGGCCTCGGCGTTTGAGGTCGACCCAAATCAACCGACAACCAACATCCAAATCCGTCTTGGCGATGGCCAGAGGATGGTGGGAAGGTTCAATCACGATCACACGGTGGCCGATGTCCGAGCTTTCCTGAACGCGTGAGTGCCAGTCTGGACTTCATGGGTAGACTCTTGTCAGACTGGAATTGCTGACGACAAGCGCTCTTGGCGTGCACCTTGACAGCTCGCATCCAGGCATGTCCAGCCGCAACTACGTGCTCCAGGCATCGTTCCCCCCCAAGCCGCTAACGGACGAGACGCAGACGATCAAGGACGCCGGCCTCGTCAACTCTGTTGTCATCCAAAAGTTCCAGTAGCGAGCATCGAGCGCAACTGGCACCTCGGCCTCGCTGCACGACATCGTCACTCTGGCGATGCATCACGAGCCACGAACTGGCCCTCCTGCACACTCGCGCATGCGGCTCCAGCCCCAACCTGAAATCGAGCAGAGCTTTAGGGTAGTACCAACCTGGTGGCATGTGCGCAGCGTGCGAGCAGTCAGTAGATTGGCAAGATGCGCATCACATCAGCACAGCTCCACCTGACAAATTCGGCCAGGCTGCTCTCCTGCATCTTGTCGAGCCATTCGAGATCCGCATTGTCTCGCGCCCGGACGACGTTGGCCGTCGCTCCCTCACTCGCTTCGTCGTCGCCGCCGGCCAAGAGGTCTTCGAGGTTGAGGTTCGAGACAATCTTGGAGACGGTGACGATGTCCGGCGTCTTGTTGCGTCTCGAGGACGGCTTTGCCGCCACCCAATCCGAAATTCGCGCCTCGACCGCGAGTATCACGTGTTCCAGGTTGCGATAGCCGGGGAGCAGCGCGTAGAGCTTCGGTGGTGTCGGTGTCGCCTCCAGAAGCGTCGCAGAGCCCTCGCGAGGTGACGCAGGGACCACGGCGGGGTCGAGGATGCATGCAAGGGTGCGGATGACGTGCGAGGATCGCACCAGCTCGTAGAGAAACGCCTGCGTCTCCTTGGTTGATGCGAGGAAATGGTCGGACCGCAGCAGCGCCGTATTGAGCGTGGCGACGATGGAACGGACAAGCTGCGGCAGTTCGGCTCCGGCGCGAATCTCGGCGTGCCGGCCCGCCACGAAAGCGGCGAGCGAGAAGATCGCATTCCACGTGTCCGCCCAGTCAAACTCGAGCGAGATGCGCTCCGCCGCGCAGAGCGTGATGCTGCGCTGGATGATTCGGAGACCCAAGAGGTGGCTGTGGATGTCGAGCCGCTTGCTGAGGTTGTGACGAAGGTGGCAGGTGGCAACGACGATGTTGCACGTGACGAGCCTCCGAGGCTTCTGCCGCGGATACGAGAGACCCGGCTCGCGCTGGCGGCAAATACGGACCTGGCGCACTAGCCTAGTCGATCGGTCAGAATCATCGAGCACGGCGCGGATGCCGCTCGGATCATGAAGAAGGACGAGCAGCAGCAGCAAGGCGACCCGTGCGTACGAGCGGGAGCGAGGGGTGCCGGCGGCATGCGTGCACAGGTAAGAGCTCAGCGAGAGAAGTTGGACATATGAACAACCAGTCGCCCCGTCGTCGTCCTGTGTTTGCGCCACATCATCCGCGTTGGTGGGACAGCCCGTGGCGAACACAACCTTCGAGGCGAAGGCTTGGTTGGACCGAGCCAGCAAGAAGACCGGCAGCAGGATAACGGTGCTCGGACTGGGCAGGTGGGCAAAGTCTGGCCCACCCGTGGCGCTAGGCCTCCGCCTTCCGTTGATGTCCGATGCGATCGAAGTGGAGCTGGCCGAGGTCGTCATGCCCACGATCTCTCCGAGCCCTCCGATCCATCGTAAGCTTGCCATGCCGGCGAGGGAGCCTGCCAAGGTCGGCACAGTGTCGTCGGCCAGCTCGACGTACTGCTGTGTCGCCTGTTCGAGGGCAGCTGCAGCTGCAAAGAGGATCTTGGCCATGCATTCGTAATCGACCCAGTCACGCATCCTCCGCGCGTACGGGTTCGAGGTGCTCGAGCTGAGCATCAGACTGCTGGAAGATCCTTGTCCGACGGTGGCCAGCAAGCCCAGGAAGAGGGATGACTCAAAGGCAAAGATCGACGTCGAGGGCGCACGGACAAATGCGGTGACGGTGACAAAGAGGTCGCGGCGGAGAAAGTAGGCACCGAGTGACGTTTGCGATACGCACGAGAGCCAAAGCAGGCCGAGCTGGAGGGCCCGGTGCTGAAGGTCGCGATCGAGGTAGGCGGCCTCACTCGCGGCGGCTGCACCATGGGCATCGTGGTCGTCGGCGCTTTCGTCGCGGACGCCGGAAGCGAGTACCGTCCTCCGAGGCCGGTGCGAGCGTAGCGCGTCATCGATGGCGTCGACGAGCGAGATGAAGACGTCGTCGGCCTCGTCCATTCCGCCGGCGAATATGGCGATGATGTCGAACGCATAGTTTGAGAACCTCTTTGCGAGGATGGGATAGGAGAGGGCGACCAGGGTGTCGACTGCATTCCTCCTGCGTACATCGTCTTCATCGCGTTGCCGCCAGACTCGGATGGCCTCGCGCCAGAGGCTCCCGACATTGTCGCGAATGAGGGCGCCCCTGCTAGCCGGATCGTCGTCGAGCAGAGCGTCGGCCGAGACGGCGCCGAGCAGCTCGACGACGAGACGCGTCTCGACGGGAAGGCAGAGGAGGTCGGCAAAGTAGCGGATTTGCGGACCAGAGTTGGTCTTGCCCTTCGACTTTGTCCGCGACAGGTCGGGGCGCGGCGCGGCGTGACCGTCTGCGGAAGCGGCAGCGGCAGCATCTGTGCTCGATGTGGATGCATCTGCCTGTGTCCAAGGCTGCTGCCCTGATAGGAGGGCGGCGTAGCACTGGCTGAACTTGGACCGGAGTGGCGGCCTCGAGGTGTGAAAGGGTGTGGCCATGGCGCCTTGGATGTGGCGCGGCGAGACGATGACGGCTCGAAGGACGAGCAGCAGCTGATGGTTTGAGGTTGACGGGGGGTGGGCCGCTAGGTATAGAGACTTGCTGGCTGCTTCCGATTGCGGCCCGGGCGCGGCGCCATCACGAGCGAGGAGAGAGGATTGTGTTTGCGAGTTGGAGCGAATGGCAGGCGCACGGTGCAAGAGAGGGTGTTTGCCAAGAGCTTGCGGAAGAGAGGGCGACAGTCGGTGTACAGAGGACAGCCGGCACAGCGGCAGGGATATCGACCTGGGGCAAGAGGGCCGCGAGCAAGATGGTGGTGGCCGTCTGACGCAGAAATGGACATGGTAGCGAAGGCCAAGCCCGATGTTGGAAGGCCGGCGGTATGTCCAGGGCCAGGGCCAGCGCAGGGCAGGTGTTGGTTGGCGTGGGTGCGTGTGGCAGGTCTTAGTCGTGCCGTCGGCAAGAACAGCGGTGGCCTTTGCCCGTGCGCCAAGCAGCGTGGCAAGGAACCCGGGAGGAGGCGAAGGGGGCAAGCTGAGGGAAGCCAGGGTGGGGGCCAAAAGCTGCAGGCCAGGCAGGCCAGGCAGGCCAGGCAGGCCACAGGGCAGGCAATCGCACGCAGGCCACCTTTGAGGCGAGCGGCCAGGCAGGCGTGCGTGCGTGCGTGCGTTGCCTTTGGCCCAAGGCAGAGCGTACGTTTCCACCCGCCCTGGTCGGCCGCGTCGAGCTTGGCTTGGGCTCTCTGCTAGCAACAACCAGGACCGCACACATCCAGCAACAAAGTCAAGGCCCCGCCGCCTTGCACCCATCACCCCACACGCCTCTTATCCGTCGCCGTCGCCGTCACCGCCGCCATCGCCGCCGTGGCATCGTCACCCTTCTCCCTTTCATGGCAGTCCCCACCACGCCGTTGCTTTAGCGCATACCACCGCCGTCCATCTGGTTCTCGATAGGCGGACCCACCTTGGGCACGCTCCTTGCTCTGGACGTGCCTTCTACACTCATCCAGGCCATTCAGATTGCCAGGTCCTCTGATCTCCAAGTAGGAGCCACGGCAGCAGCCTCTGCCACCTCACTTTGCAACCGCGATACCAGCGCCGTCTAGCTCAGCGATCCAACCCGCCTACCTCGAGCTCGTATCACTCTGCACGCCGCAGTGCGTCCCAGCAGGCAATCAGCGGCGGTCACGACTAAGCCGACTGCAGACTCCGTCCACCTGCCCGTCCGCCCCGCCATCGACTCGTCGGTCTCACCCGCGCCTTGCATCCCCCATTGACGCTGCTCATCGCCTCCGACCCCGTCCGACCCATCAACGATCTCATCTTCTGCGCGTCTTTCTTCCGGGGCATGCCCTTTCGGCCTACGCGATCTCGCCTCGACCTTCCATCATGACGGCTTCTGCCGCTAGCTAATGACTGGTTCCGCCTCGACGCTACGCATCGCACCAACGGCCCCATACCGCTCAGCTTTCGGTGTCTAGCTGGCTTTCCTCGGCCTCGCCTGTACCTCGTTTCCCCCTTTACCGCAGACCCCACAATGCCTGGCCCGCCCGAGGGGGCCATGACCAGCCAGGTCGAGGATTGGGGCGAAGGCGGCGACTTTGACCTGACCCACCAAGCGGACCCCGATCCCGACGCTCGCGTCTTGAGCGCACCCTCTGACGACCGAGGCGCAGACTCTGATGATTGGGACGTCGACCTCGGACATGATGCTCAACCTGTAGTCTCAAACCTGGCAGCACCGGACGACGAAGATGAGGATCAGACCGACACCATCAAGCTGTCCAACGCTGCGGGCTCAGCACTCAAGCTTATGCTCGATGCACAGCGGTCCGGTCCGAACAGCGGCATCGTCACCCAGCTAGGCTCCCGCTCGACCGTAGCATCTGCCGACGACGTCGACGACGACTGGGGCGCCGATCTAGAGATCCCAGACTCGTTGCCGTTCGACCTGAATGCTCTGCATCAGCGCAGGGCAAGCTTCACGAGCGACCTTGAGGGCGAGGAGCCTTTTGCCAGCGCCAGTGCCAGCACAACCACCAGCACGAGCTACAAGAGCAACCTCGGCATCTCGACCGACTTCACCGACCCAGAATGCTCTCCGAAGAAAGGCGCAGGTGGAGGCGCTTCGACGTCTGACTCTTCCGCCACGTCGCTTCTCTGCCCGTCCTATCAGTTCCGTGGACGTGGCGATGCCGCTTCCTTGGGCCAAGAGGCCGACAGCGAGACAGACATCGAGCAAGACTTCGAACTTGACCCGAGCCTCGACACGCTTAGCCTCAGCCCTGCGGTCTCTAGGAAGCGATCGCGCGCCACTTTGGATCACGAAGGGCTGCTCTGGGGTGACGAGAATCACAAGCGATCGCCGTCGCCAGGACCAAAGGGCACACTCAGCCGGTCGCAGAGCCACAGCAGCAACCTCGGCGATGGGGTCAACGGGCCAGCAGCGTTCGGCGCCGAGAGCGACGCCGACGATGAGCATGAAGATCTGCTCGATGGTCTCGTGCTGGACGGCAGCGTTTTCGAGGTGGACGCAGCCTCGACCGATCCCAAGGCTGCCATCGAGATTACCGAGACGCTCGAAGCAATCCTCAACGTTCGGCGTGCGGGCGAGCCCTCCGATGGTGGTCCGTCTTGTCGGCAGTCCGACGGTCCTGTCGAGTCTGAGGCAGACCTTGCGGGGGGTCTCATCATCACGGACGACCTTGACCTCTCACCAAGCCGACTGTCGAACAACAAGCTATCCTACCGCACACGGAGCAGAGGACCGCTGCCTGCGGGCCCAAGCCACAGCCGGAGCGTTCTGGTGCGACATCCGTCTTTGCCTGCGGCGTCGTCGTCGACATCTTCGGCGTCATCGTCGACATTTTCGCACCTATGGCTAGGTCGCGAGACCGCTTCGAGGCCATCCGCATCGACCAACCTCTCGGTACCGACACGCGGCGAGGTATTCTCGCCACATGCACGGCAACGCACGCTGTCGCAGTTGAGCTCAAGCACCTCGTTGACTCAGTCATCCGAGGCTGGGCCCTCTCAGCAGCACGGCCATGCACAACCTCGGCCGCGCGCTCCAAAAGGCAAAGGGCTGCAGTACAAGCGTTCTGCCAGCGATTTGCAACAGAAGATGACGGACTCGCCCGCTCCGCAAAATCGGGCTCGCAACAAAGGGCTTGCGCGGAAACGTTCGCTGCCTTCCCTGGCGGACCGCTTCCGGCAGCAGGGCCGACCAAGCTCATCCGGGTCGACTGCTCCGGCCGGCGGGCCCAGTGTACTCAGCACGCGCACGCCTTCGTCCTTCAGCTCACGACTGACGGCGTCTACGGCCGCCTCGAGAGCGCGTGCGGCTGAGACGGCGGCCGACATCCTCGCGAGAATGGCGAAGGACAGCCCGCCACCTCCACTTCCTGGAACTTCTCCGGCGGGCGCTTCAAGTCGGTCGCTTGCCACCATGAGCCGGGCGACCGCGCGGGTCCGGCCCAGCACTGCCGATGACGGCAGCCCTTCGCGACGAGCGCAATCGCCCCATCCGCTCAGGCAAGGTCGTGTATCGTCGCCGCTGGTACAGAGCCCGCCGTCGACCCACTTTCTGCGCCGTACGGCCGCTTACGGAGACGGAGCGGAGCTAGACGCGATCGAAGACCTACCGAGCACGACAGGTGCTTCGTCTATTTCGAGGTCACGTCCCGAGCGACCGCCGCGATCCGGCTCGAACGAGTCTGCGTCGCGCGGTCACCGCGGGCGTAGTAAGCCCCCATCCAAGCCGGGCCTGATCAAGCCGCTGGGCGCCTCATCGATCACACAAAAGACCGTCAAGGGCATGCGCTGGAATCCGAAGACGCTCCGATGGGACGGCAACGAAGGCGCACTACGCGAGTTCGATAGCGTCGTCCAGAGCAGCGTGCGGCCAGCCTTAATCAGCCAGCTGACCGGCAGCTCCACCAACTCGGCTCTGGCTAGCCTCAGCGGATACACCTCGCCCGTGCTGCAGGACTCCAGCTCCTTGATCACCAATATCGCCTGCGGCGTCAAGATGGTGGGCGACATGATCTTCGATCCGATCCAAATGAAATGGGTGCACCGCAACTGCGAAGAGGACGCCGAGGTGTTCGCGCAGTTTGAGGAAGAGGGCTTCAGCAGCGAGGGCGCCTTCGGTCCACAATCCGAGGCTCAGGTCGCCAGCTGCTCGAGGAGCGTAGGCTCGGAATGTGGGTCCGACATGCGCCCGGACGCATCGGCAAAGGGCAACTCGAGCTGGGACGTCGAGTCGACGATAAGGGCTCGCAAGATGCGTTCTGGACCGCTAGCTGGGAGGCTCGAGGAGCGATGGTCGCCCTCCTTGTGCGAGGCAACCAAGCTCATCCGTTCTCCCGGAGGGCCAAGAGGCGCCAGGCTGCCCACCAGGGTCGAGGCCGCCGTCGCCCAGGCCGTCAAGAGTGGCAGCATGCCCAACCTAGAACATGTCGATGAGGCCCTGTGGAATTCTTGCCTCGAGGCCGAGGCGCGGCACCGATCCGAGGTTCACAGCTTCCTCCCGCGAACCTCGTCGTCATCGTCACAATTGCAGACGCAGAAGCACGTCTCTGCGCTGAGTGGCGCCCTCGAATACGCGCCCACTATGGGCGAGATCGAGAGGCCGAGGCCGCACCTCTACCACCTGCAGAGGATCGCTCGGGGGCTGGGCAAGGGCAGCGATCCACCCATGATGGCGACGAGGTCGCGTGGGCAGTGAGGCCCGGCCTGTCTGTCTCAACGACTCAAGTTCAGGAGCGTTTCGGCCAGCGATTTCCGGGCCCAAGGGCAGGCTCGCCACGGGATGCGCTGCCAGGCTGCAAGACGCGGCCCTTATCCGCCCGACACGATGACCCTGCCCGCCGGCCGGCCCAGCATCGTCAGCGACCCTCATCCCCTCGTCTCAACTCGGGTTCGCAGAACTACGTACTTGTGTCTTGTCCATCTATGTTCCACCTGCCGCTGTTTGCCACATCCGCTCCCTAGATACCATGCAACGCATCGATGCCCGGATCGCTCGCCAGCTTGAGACCGCGGCTGCAGCCGGTCGTGTCGGATCCAACGAGTAGCGGAGGGATCGTTGATGCTCGGCCCAGAAGCGTCCGACGCGCGCCCAACCCCGGTCACTTGGCTGGACCCTGTCGGCTGACTAAGCCATTTTTCCAGAGATCCTCAATTCTTGATTTTTCCGACGGCGCGCTGCTTCTTCTCCTGGTTGGCCTCGCACCCACCGCCTCCACCGCCTCCACCGCCTCCCTTCACAGCAGCTTGGCCTTCTCCCTCCGACGTCGACCGCTACCCATACATATCCCTTGGAAGCCGATTCATCAGCCAGACCTCTCCCGCGTACGATGAGCTCTCGGGCCTCTTCAGATACGCCGGCCCTCAAGAAGCGCAAGCTCGATGCGCCCGGCGGTGAGGCTTCAGTCACTGCAGAGCCGCCAACGAGGGCCTCCAACCTCAACATCCATCCGTCGCGACTCGGCCGCGCCCCCGCCCTCAAAGCCGCCGTCAAGCCCAGCATAGGAGGCTCAAAGGAAAAGACCAAGGCCAAGCAACGCTACCTCAAAGCCAAAAAGGACCGCAAAAAGGCGCGCAGGAAGGCAGCGCCCAAGGGCGAAAAGAAGAAGCAGAAACCCACTTCGCTGGCCGCCATCGGTGATTCGCTGACTTTTCCAGAGGAAGCGGCGCTTCATGCGGCTGCTGCAGAGACGCAGAGCGCCTTGGATCCGGTCCCTGAATCTGATTCGTCCTCAGAGAGCAGCAGCGACAACGACGACGACGACGACAACGACGACGACAACGACGACGACGACGACGACGACGACGACGATGACGACGACGACGACAACGACAACGACAACGACGACGACAACACCTCGGGTGCAGCGAACACTTCCGCCGGCGTCAGAATGAGAGACGCTGACGGCGACTCTCCAGAAGACACAGGTTCAGCGACGCAAGAGGTTGAAAACACCAATGGAAGGCTGAACGAAGATCATGAAGAGGTGGTTGGGCTTCAACGCTTCCCGGCCGCCGGTATCAAGAAAGCCTCGGATCCCGCTCTCATCAAGCAGCTCGGGCTCACCGAGGGCATGTCGAGCCGGACCGTCGTCGATCCGAAACTCTCAACGCCGCTCATCTCAGCGACCACGGGTGCGACGCCAACTAGCCAGGGTGCGATCGTTGTCGTGGAGAATGCGAGCAAGGAGAGCGGCGGGTTTGCCAATGTGGCGCTCAGCGAGAGCGTCCGCAGCCGTCTCGAGGAGCTGGGCGTGTCAGAGTGGTTTGCAGGTAAGCTCCTCGTGGCGGTGCGGAGTCTCACTCGAGGACGGGGCTGAGAGGGTCGATGCTGACCTCATTCGCACGGTCCTGCAGTCCAAGTCTCCGTGATCCCATCGTTGCTCTTGCTGCCGCACAGCAGGTCACTCTACCGACCCACGGCGCCGCCTCGAGACCTCTGCGTGTCGGCGCCGACCGGCAGCGGCAAGACGCTAGCCTACGCTGTGCCCATCGTCGAGATTCTGCGCACGCGGCAGGTGACGAGACTCCGCGCACTGATTGTGCTGCCGACCCGCGACCTCGTGTCGCAGGTCAAAAGCACCATTGAGCTCATCTCCAAGGGCACAGGTCTCAAGGTCGGCATTGCCACCGGTCACCACAGCTTTTCGCACGAGCAGTCGCAGATCATGAACCGGGACTTCAACCGGCCCAAAGTCGATATTCTGATCTCCACACCAGGAAGGCTGATCGACCACCTTGACTCCACCCTGGGATTCACGCTGAGTCATCTGCGCTTCCTCGTCATCGACGAGGCCGATCGTCTCCTCAGCCAGTCGTTTCAGGAGTGGCTGCGCAAGGTTCTGCAGGCCACCGAGGAGGATCCCTCCGCAATCGCTGCCGAGTCAGACTCGTTCCGCGACCTCGACGAACGCCTTGGCGTCGGAAGCTTGGAAGGCCCCCCCGCGGAGGCTCCTTCCCGCGTTTTGCGCCACCATCATGGTGCGCCCGATGATGTGCTAGAGCAAGTCAAGCCCGCGGTCCAGAAGCTGCTGTTCTCCGCCACGCTGACCAGGGACCCTGCAAAGATCGCCGCGCTGGGACTTCGACATCCGCACTACATCGCCATCCAGGCGGAGCCTACAGACGACGATCGACCCAGCCACGAGAGTTTTTCGCTGCCGCAGTCTCTGCGAGAGCACATGTTGGTCACCAGCGCCGCAGACAAGCCGCTCGAGCTGCTCCAGCTCCTGCATCGGCCGAAGTCTCCGCTGAGGAGAGTGCTCTGCTTCACGAAAAGCGTCGAGTCAGCGGCAAGGCTCGTCAAGCTCGTTGAATTCTTTGAGCAAGCGCAGACGGCCCGCGGCCTTCCAGCCATCACGGCGGAAAACTTCTCGTCCGAGCTCAAGGCGGGCAGGAGGCAAAAGATCATGGACGAATTCGCAAAGGGTCAGATCGATCTGTGAGTACGAGGACGCTTTCTCTCCAATAATGCTACGTGGGCCAGAATTTGCCTCTCTCTGACACAGTGCTGAGGGCTGTTTCCCTTCCCCCACCACGAAAGACTGGTCTGCTCCGACCTCATCTCTCGCGGCATTGATCTGCCCGACGTGCAGCACGTCATTTCGTACGACGTGCCCGTCGACGCCTCCAAGTATGTCCACCGGGTCGGTCGGACTGCGCGAGCCAATCGTGAAGGAGATGCCTGGACCCTGGTCGAGGAGCACGAGGCGCGCTATTTCAAGGGCCTTCTCAAGGCCGTCATCCGACAGGGCAAGGTGGAGAAGATCAAGCCGACGGCGGACAGTGTCGATCCTCGGATGCGGGATGATTACGCCGCGGCACTCCAGAAGCTCGCCGACTTCTACAAGCGCTCCGGATCAGAGGCGGGCCGTTAACGCGGAGGCGGACGCGGATGGCGGAGGCCCCGGTGTTGGGGGACGGCGCTCACTGGTGCATGTGGATGAATTGACCGGGCCCGCCGTGCCGCATACTGCGACGAGGTGCGGGGTTTCGTGCTGCCAAAGCCTTCGGACGATGCGAGCATCGAAATCGTGAAAAATGCCGGAAATTGACGTGCGGAAGCGGGCGGCTGTCCAGCATCTCCCCGCAACTCGATTCGGGCACTTCCGCCCCTTTCCGCTCTGAAAGGCGCAACAATCCACGCCGATCTGCCCCAGCTATATCAGAGACGTCTTCAAAAGGCTTCTGAAGCTGGCTTTCCCCCGTCTGTACTGCTCCTTCCTCCAGTGTCGCCTCTCGACCCGCATCGCAGTACTCGCCCAGATCACCGATCCTGTACGGGCAGAGCCTTATCCACCATTGACGATACCCGGCGCAAGCATCCAGACCCACGTCTACTGGCCTTTCTCCGTCGCGACAGCCATGCCGCGTCGCGCCGCCTCCCCAGAGGTGATCACGATTGAAGAGAGCGACGAGGAAAAGCCTTTGAAGTCGCTTCCCACCATCCCATGGCGTGCTCCGCTTAATCTGCCGCTCTGCGATGACGGCAGTGAGCCGATGGACAAGCGCGATGTCAGCAAGTCGCATCAAGATGGCGAAGGGCGCGACCGCCCACGCATTCAGGGCGGCACGGAGGATCATCTCTCAGTGCCGAGTCTCCACGATGAGCTGCCACTGCGAGGTTCGTTCACGAAATCGGCGAACACTCATACTCCCTCGGAGAGTGCGCGGTCTTCGTCCCTGCCTCTGCCAGACTCGGTCCAGGCCAGCGATGTCTGTCACCAAAGAGCGAAGAAGCTCGACGTCAAGGCCACAGCCGTAGAAGATACGTTGGAGGCGAGCAACGGCGTGGCCCCCGCGGCCAGCCCAGAGGTACACGTGAACCGAACAAACAAGTCGAAGAAGAGGGAGACGATGGATGGTCATCAAGTCGCCGTGAATGGAGCCGATGTGGGACAGGCATCCTCTCGTCGACCTTCGAAGAAGAGCCTGTTCCTGCTTTCGTCCTCGGACGACGACGACGACGACGATAGCGACGATATTTACAAGGGAAAAGATCGAGACGATGACGACAAGAATGCTGGTGATCCCTTTCCCGGTCAGACCGCAAAGGAGCAAAGGAAGCGGACAGTCTCCGACGTCCTGTTCGCTACGGCCAGTGAGGTATCGCCTCTTGCCAAAAAGTGTCCCGCAAGTGAACCGGACAAGGCCAAGACGACTACGAGCAGGACATGCGATACGACCTCTCGCGTGGCTAGGCAGACCAAGGATCGGAAGCGCAAGAGCGGCGACCTCGCGGCCGTCGATAAGTACGAACCGCAGGGCTTCTCAGCTCGTGAGGCCATCGCCATCCCTTTGTCGGTACGTATCTGCCACTGTCACCTTTTCCTTCCGGCTTCTCCTGGAAACTTAAACTCGACGGAGATCCTTACCCGCGGCAATGCTGGCGATACGGCATCGGGCAGGGCTGGACCGACGAGCAGTTTGGATGGCTCAACTATGCTATCCGGGAAGTCATGGCATGCCACGTGCGTATCTCGACGGGTTTGGACGGCAAGTCGGCCTTAGGCTGGGTCGATTGACGTCTTCACCACATCTGCTCGATGCAGATGAACGAGATCTACAATCACGTCCCTGCACTGATGCCCTGGCGCCACAAAGGCCGTGTTCACAGAAAGGTAAGTTCGACATCCCTACCCACTCGTCCGACCCCCTCGATGGACGTCCTCTGACTTGCGAGCCTCTGCTTCCGAGACGCTGTAGCCTCGCTAGATGTCCCAGCTTATGGATACAGCCGTCGGCGGCTCACTGGGAAAGGAACTGTGCCGGCAGAGGCAGGAGCGGGACGCTGCCAGCTCGACGTGCAAGAAGTCTAAGAAGCGAGCGTAAAGCGCAACCTTGCGTTAGGAAAGCTGGCCGCCGAGGGTCTGCCGACACGCAGTCAAGAGACGGGACGAGGTGACGACGAAAGACGCGGTCGCAGCGCAACTGAAAAGGGGGACGGATCGCGGAGACGATGCTTGCGCAGATGTGGATCAGGGCGTGGGCTAGAGTACAGTGTGAGGATCCTGGGTGCAACCAGCTCAAGCTGGATGAGAACAGTCGCGACGAGAACGAAGCCAGCGCGGCTGGATCAGAAGGCGGCGGGAAACACGCCGTGGCTAGTCCCATTCCATGTTGAGCAAAAAGGACTTTTGCATGTGCATCACTTGGGCGACAAAGGCCTCGAGGTGGAAGATCACCTTCGAGCCTGTCCTGCATCTCAGCTCCTGTGGTCGGGAGCCATGACAGACGTTGGGGTATCAAGCTACGAGCATCAGCCTTCCGCAACACTGCGTACGACACTGTTCAGGGTATCTTGTCTCACGTAAAAGGCAGCCTTTTCGACGACGGCGGCTCGCAGACTCTCGTCAAGACGGACGACGAGCCTGTCGGTAATGGTCTTGATGATGACGGTGGCGGGGATGGCGTGGACGAGCAGCTCGTAGAGCTTGCCGCGCACCTCGAGCAGCTTTGCAGGCGACGGGTCGGACAGGATCAGGTCCGCCGTCTTGTGTGCGTAGACTTCCCAGTCTGGCTTCGCAATCGACAGCGAGGCCGAATCGAGCTCGGGCGACTGCATACGCAGCGCTTCGAGGATCAAGATGGCTTTGCGCAGGTTGCCGGCGGCATCGGCGCAAATGTCCGCCGCCGTGTCCGAAGGCAGAGTGAACTTCTCCTTCCTGGCCACGTGCTGAAGCACGGTCGTCATCTGATGCGCGGCGGGTGCGAGACGGGTAGGACAAGTAGGGCAGCACGCGAAAGGTTCGTCAGCGGGTGGGCGGATTCGCCAGTCTGGCAGTTGAGAAATGGCCTCGGCGGCGAGCGAGCCGATTGCTTACTTCTTGATCTGTTGGTGCGCCTACGCGCATGAGGAGGCAGCGGGAACGGATGGGGGCGATGATTTTGCTGGTGCTGTTGGCGCAGAGAATGAGGCGGAGGTTGCCCATGTACTTTTCCATGGTCCTTCGGAGGGCGGACTGGGCGTCCCTGGAGAGGGAATCCGCCTCGTTGATGACGACGACCTTGAAGCGGTGCTTTGCGTTGAGATCGACCTGCTGAGTTTGCGCGATCTCCTTGAGGATGTCCTGGATGACGAGGCGATCATAGTTGCCGGCATCGCTGCGCAGGCCGAGGGTGGCAGTGGCAGTGGCGGTGGCAGTGGCGGGTAGGGAAATGTTGGCTGAGCCGTGCCACCGGGCCAAGGGCAACTCCCTCGACTTTGACTCACCTCGGGGTTAGTTCAATGTGGTAGTTGCTGCTGACGATGTTTACGTCAATTTTCCTCTTTGATGGGTTGAGAAAGACTCTCTGGTCGATCTTGAGCTTGTAGGTGCCCGGGCCGTAGAGCTGACGGAGGAGTGCGGTGATGCGAGTCTTTTTTCCTGCGCCAGAGGGGCCGTAGAAGAGGAGGTGGGGGAAGTCTTCGTGTTCTGCGAGCGAGGTGAGGCGCTGGGAGAGGTCGGGATGGTAGTGGAGCTCGTTGAGCGTCTTTGGGCGGTGCTTGTCGACGAAGAGCATGGCGGGCAGCAGCGCGGCGTGGTGAGGGCGGAGAGGACGGGCGGGTACGTGGGTATGGTGGCGCTGCGCGAGGGAATAGCAAGAGAGGAGTGGTCAGCGTCGCAGGTGGCAGGATCGGTGCTGGGAGAAAGAGAGACTCTGGGAGAGATAGAGGAGGGGAGGGGGGAGGAAAAGAGCCGAAGAAGGTGGTCGATGGTGGCTGCGCAGGGGCCAGGGCGTCTGCCTATCACTACTCAACTCTGCTCGACTTCTACAGGACTCTCTTGTGTGGAGCAAAATCAGCCCGTAAGTTAGCACACGGGAGGTTAGTAGGCAGGCAAACTCAGCCAGGCAAAGGCGCAGGCCTGGCCAGCCTTCCTGCCAGGGTCGAGAGCGCGTCGCGAAAAGTTGAAAGGCAGACGCGCACGCGCAGCGGCCAGAGCCAGGCCAGGCATATGTGTTGGTTCCAAGCCAAGCGGCCATGGCCCCTCCCTCCGCTGGGCCACCACAGCTCGCTCTTTCTCCATCTCCTTGGCCCCTTTCTCGTCCATCCAGACGCGATCACCTTCAGACGCCGCGCCTTCGTCTCGCCGCCACAAGCAACGCACTGCCTTCCCCTTTCCACTGCATACCGCACCGATAGATACCTCACCCCTGCACAACCACGAGCCGCAACCCCCTGGTTTGACCGCACCCGCCGCGTCCCTCTGGCGCATTCCTGGCCAGAGACATATCCCCTCCCCTCTCTCCCGCTTCCCAAAGCCCACCATGGCCGCGGAAGACGACTACTCCGACGACCTCGAGCTCCTCGAGCAGTACGACCTCGAGGCGTCCGACTCCGATGCTTCCTCTTCCTATTCCCATGGCGGCGGAGCAACGCCAACGCACACCAGTCACATCCGCAACGGCAGTGACTACGACGACGACGGCGCACAACACGCTGACGCTCTTGACGATGCACAAAGGCTCGAACAGCTCAGGGTGCCCATCCTCAGCATCTGCTCGGCCCTCGGCGGGTACGAAGAGGAACAAGACAGCCGCGGACGCTTCCGCTCCGTCTACAAGCTCGGCGACGACTGCCTCGCCTGCCTGCGCGACCTCCGAAGGCTCTGGCGCCAGGACGACACCGACCCTTCCAGGGCAATCGCACGCGTATTCGCCCAGGTAAACGTCCTCCACAACGACCTCATTCCCATCCTGCTCCATACCGCAGGCAAGGGCGCAAACAGCGACAAGGTCGCACTCGCCTGCACCGACCTCCTCACAGCAATGACCTGGCCCATCGACGCCATGGCCGAGATCCACGACGCAGTCACAAAGGAAGACGACGCGGAACACGTCATCAGCCTGCCAGAGCTCGAAAAGGCCCAGGTCCAGTACAAGTCCTCGATCCTCCGCCAGACATCGACCGACGCCGGAGCCCAGCGCTCCGTCATCCCCCTAATTCTCCGCCACATCCTCCTTCCCGCCCTCTCCAAGCCCAGAATCGACCGCAGCGAGAGAGACGTCGGCGTCATCGGCATGTGTCTCCACTTCTTCCGCAACCTCCTCACCATCCGAGACCCCATCGCCACCACCCTCAGCAGCACAGACCTCCTCGCCAACGCACACCTCCAGAGCTCCCTCGTCTGCGCCATGAACGATGCCCACGTCCTCGACACGCTCCTCATGCTTGCCAGCAGCGCCGACACCCGCGAGTTCAACCAGTGGAACGCCGTCACGAGCGAATGCATCTACCAGATCTTCGTCGGCACTAGCCCAAAGGCGCTCGCCGACAGCCTTCCCACCACAGACGCAAAGAGCCGTGAGGATCAGCGCAACAGCAACGGCAGCAGCATCAACAGCGGCTTTGGCGGCGGCCCCCCGGCAGCTCGAGCTACCTCCTCGGCTCTCTCCTCCGTCCTCGCCGCAGAGGCCAGCCAAAAGAGGGCCGCCATCCTGACCTCCGGCGCTACACGTCATTCACGCTTCGGCACTACGATCAACTTTGTCGGCCCCGACGGCAATCGACGGGTGGCTCGATCGCAGTCCGCACTTAAAAAGTCGGTTGCCCAGCTCACGGAGGAGAATCTGGCAAAGGCAAAAAGGCGCGTCAAGCGGCGCAAGGCGGCCAGAGAAGTTGGAGCGCCCAAGCTGAAGTCGGCCTGGACCGCACAGGCTGCAGTCGTGCTGCAAAGCTGGGCCGATCGATTTATGGAAACTGGCTTCGAGAGTGAGTAAAGGTGCCCTGGCCGGTCGCGCTTAGCCAGAAGATCTCGCTGATGCCCTCATGCCTACGCATCGCGATCGCAGCGCTCACCCGTTCGGTCCTGCAGGACATTCGTTCCGAGAGGGACAAGATGGGCGATCTCGATCTCGCAAGGATCCGGGTGATGCAGCTTGGCGCCTTCTTCCTGGAATATTTCTTTCTCCGCAAGTCGGCCAGCGAGGCACGGCAGTCCGCCGATGCGTCCTGTAAAGCGAAGGGCAAGCAGCGTGCCGTGAATGTGGAAGCCGCCGTTGCTGCCGAGGGCACACAGAACGCCAATGCGGGATCCGTGCCAGAAGAATGGCCGTTCTCGTATGTTGCCGGCTGGCTGGAACCGTGGTCGTTCAAGATGGTGCTGGTGCGCTCGGTCGAGGCACAAGAGAGTCGCGCCTGGCTCGAATTCGTCTCGGCCGTTCAGCTCTGGACGGTTCTGCTCCGGCTAGTTGATAAGATGTCTCGCAGCCGTAGCGAGACGGAGCGTGACGTTGCCGACGGCCTCCAGGCCACCCTCTACTACCTCAACGAGACCCTCGACGCATGCCACACAATCATGCGGGCCTACAGTCGGCAGAGCTTTGCCTGCCTCGACGCGATCCTCACCTTCGCTCACATCATGCCCAAGATGCTCGAGCGCTACTCGTCCAACCGCGAGCACATGTACGTCCGGGCCCGCAAACAGGTACGCAAATCGAGGCAGGAAGGAGAACTTGACGGCCAAGAGGACGAGGCGACTCAGGTCCGCGAACGGGCAAAGGACACGCAAACGGAGCGCGAATTCCGCTTCAATGACTTCCAGAAGAAGCTGGCGACGCGGCAGCTGGCAGGCGCGTGCATCATGTACCTTTTGCGCTGGAAGGAGTTCACCGATCCCGAAGAACAGCTGGGCAAGGTGGTGGCCGTCATGCATCGGATCGCCGTCAAGGCGGCCGACTACCGCCAGTTCTTTGTCGGCGACTGCCGAGCCGTCTTCCGCACGCTCCTAACTGGTCCCACGCTCGCTGCGCTGGAGCCAAGGGCGCCCGGACCCGTCAAGGATCTGCGCAAGTTCATGGACTACATCCTGCGGAAGTTCAGCAAGCTCGACATCGAGGAGCAGACGCTTTACGAGACGGGCAAGCGGATGCCTAAGCCTGCCAAGGAGCCGAGGGTTCCAGCCGAGATCAAGGTGCGCGATGGGCACAGTTTCTCGGAGCAAATCGGCATCGCCGTCGGCCTGCTGCTGCAAAAGGAGAAGATGGAGGCGGTGCTCTGGGTAAAATCAGGCCTGGAAATGGCCAGCGCACAGCGGGCAGAGATTATGCTCAACGAGCAGTCGCGCGATCGAGCGCCGACGCCAAACGAGGTCGAACAGAACGGCGATGCAGACAGAGAACACGTCGCCTCCGTTCGTCTGGACAGCAACGAGACAGCGGCGGACAAGATGCAGGACTTCGGTAAGTCGGCTGGCTATTGCAGGTCAAGGACCTGGCGTAACGACGCTCAGCGACTGATGCCCCCTTGGCTTCTCTTCCTCGCGATAAACAGAGCTGGCGTACGGCGGCAAAGAAGAGGTACGACTAGACGCCTCGATCCTGCCAGAGCTCAAGCTCCTATGCCGTCTCGTCGGAATGGAAAGCAAAGAAGGTAAGTGCACTCATGTGCGATGTGGCACCGCCGATCTAGATCACGTTTGCTGACGCGCACCCAAGTTTATGCCCTCGGCCTTGATCCGTCGGTATCTCCGGACCAATCCGCATCGACAGAAGTGATGCTGCACTGGCGCTGGATCATCCCTTCACGCCTTCTGCCTGCTCAACTTGACGAGCGGATCTCGTTGATCGAAGAGTACCTGCGCGCACCATTCCGGCCGGGAGGCGGGATCGAGCTGTCGAAGCTGGTGCAACGTAAGCTCAAGCCACGAACAAGCACCCACATCACCTCGAACTTTTCCGAGTCGTCGTCCGATGACGACGACAACGACGACGACGATGACGATTCGTCTACCGACGGCGAGGCTACCAGCGGCAAGAAGAGGAAGAAGAAGGTGGCCACGAAAGCCAAGAAACGCCGTCCTGCGGCGCCGTCGCAGAAGAAGTGGAACGGCGATAACTTCATCGAGGATAGCGACGAAGAACTGGAGTTTGCAATGGCTTTGCACGGCGGGAGCGAGGGGAACGATGCCGACGGAGACTCGGACGAGGAGCAGGACGTCGGTTCGGCGGGATCCTTCTCGTCGATGGCCAGACGCGGGAATATCCGGAAGGTGGATACTCCACCGACGAGTTCCGGTGCGCAAGCTTCGGACGCCGGTGAGAACATGGATCGACACCAGGACGGCGAGCAGGAGCAGGACACCGAAGAGATGATGGACACGGCGCAAAGGAGGAGGAAGGACAAGAGGCAGAGCCTAGATGCGCTTCGGCAGCAAAGGAAGCGAGCGCTGTTCCTCGATCTCGACGAGCATGACGAGGCCGAGGAGATGGCGGTGGGACCCGAGGCACCCAACCGCGGCCCCACGGCACGGCAGGACGAAGTCAACGACGACCCGATGTCAGACCTCGACGGTATCAACGGTGACGACGAGGACCACGACGTTGCTGCGGTATCGCGCTCTCCGGTCGTGGCGCGCTCCAAGTCAGGATCAAAACGCGGCCTCTTTCTCGGCAGCGACGACGAGGACGATGCGACGCCGCTGCCCAACGAGCAGGATCAGACGCTGCGGCCCTCTTCGCGCGTCTTCAACCTTCTCAACGCTCACGACGGCGGCGACGACGACGACGAGGCACAGGACCAGAACGCGAGGGAGTCTTTGCAGTCTCTCGTCAAGCGGCGCAGGATTGTGGTCGATTCAGACGAAGATGGGGATGCGTAGTGCAGGTCGAAAGAGTCAGGCTCCCTCGAGCGTCCGCATCCCGCCCGGCCGGCCAGCGTTGAGACCATCGAGAGATAGCTCGGGCCAAAGGATGTCGGCCTGGAGCTGTTGTCCGTCAAACATTGTCCTAGCCCATGCTGTTTCTCCCCTCCGCACGTCAGGCAACTAATCTCATCTTCGTACGTCTTTTGGTAGCGGGCGGCTCTGTGAGCGCAGCGAGGGGAGATCGGGTGCACCATGCACTCAAAGCATGAAGAATACGGCTCTTGCTTGGCTCCATCGGCCACGGCTAGCTTGGCAGATACCTGGACGGCCATGACGCACGCTATGGATCCTTTGGCGGCACCTTGGCGGAGCCAGCCAGGTAGAGCTTGGCGGGAGAGGTACGCCAATGCAACCTCGGATACGTTCGGGCCATGCTGCCGCTTCCCATCAAGCGCGGCACAAAGCTGCATTTTCCTCGCAGCAGATCACCAACCTATATACATACGGCATCTACACGACAGCCAAGCAAGTACGCAAATTAATTTCTGGCTGAGAGAAAAGGGACGCAGCGAGGAGAAAGGGTGAGCATGGAAAGGTCGGCAGCATCAGCAGGTTGCGGCTTTGTGCGGGAAGATGAAGTCAGCGTGGGAAGCGATACGTACCACAAAGGACGATGAGCCGATGACCGGAGGGGCCAAGGTGAGGAGATGGGAGATGATGGGGGGAGGGAAAGGAGTAGGATGGGCGAGGTGGGTTTAGATCCCCTGCCGCTGAGCCTGGACGGTCGTCAGAGACACGCACTGCCCCAAGTTCAGCCGAGGGTGCTCCTCTGGTGTGCTGCCGAAGTTGCGGAGAGGGCAGGAAGGCTATCGGAAGTGCCGACGACGTTGGAGGCCATCTTGGCGGGTTTCTATGCCTACCTTGGGGGTCACATCCGCCAAGAGGCCGTCCGAGCTGGCCTTAGCGGCATCTCGGCGGCGGCCCCGTCAAGGTCGGCATAGAATTCCGCCAAAGCACCTTCAAGGCCACCTTGGTAGGACCATCTACTAGCCCTACTTTCTGGTCTTTGAGGCCAGCGGCAGTCGGGCACGCTTCGCCATACACACTGGTCTCTTGTGATGCTAAGTGGTATCCTGACGGGATCTGGCCGGATCGTCGGACGAGGAGGGCATAAACCCACATCTGCTGACTGTCAAGGCAAGGGTTTTGGACAATGCAACGCAGTACGGACACAACGACAGGGGCGACGAGGGGACGGTAGAGGGACGGGACGGTGAAGACAAATACAAAGAGGCCGCGCTGAGTGGGGTGTTGGCGAGGGCGCGGGCAGACATTACTGCGCAGGCCGGTCAGCCGTGGGCAAACGAGTGTGTGCTACCGACGAGGTGCGAGCGTGCGTATGCATTGGAGTGTGGTGTGGCCTGCGTGTGCGAATGGAGGACCTGGTGCGGTGGGATGCTGGAGGAGCGCGGCGAGGTGTGAGAGGCGAACCGAGGACGGCCCGACGTGATGCAGAGGGCAGGGACGGGCAGAGCTGCGTGGATCCTGACCGCTGTGCTCTAGGGTGCCGGCGCTCGACGCTGCGGCGATTTGATAAAACAACGGAGGACCAGCAACCGTTACTAATTGCGCTGGGGAACGAGCTTGCACGTCCACGCGACATTGCTCAAGTGGCGATGTGGGTATAGCAGGCCGGGAGAAGGCCGAGGATCGAGCAATGGTGTCGTCCATGGTGGAGCTGTCGCACTTCCAGAAAGACGAGGAGCCGGTGTAAGAGGACGCAAAAGCCGTTCCCCAGGCGTGTGAGGCCTGCCTGGCGAGGCGAGGCGATGCCCTGCGAGGTTGACCTCAGATGATGCGTCTGCCTCCGCCGCCACTGCCGACGCCCTCGATCGCCTGGAATTGGCCTCCAGGGAAGTTGCTGCTCAGGGCAGACCCTCCGATGCCCGAGTACCCAGCCTGCATTGAGCTGTACGACGAAGGGGCGGGGTACGAGCCGTTGGCGCTCGCATCCAGGTATTCGTGGCCAGCACCGCCGCCATATCCTCGGGGACCAAGCGGACCCATATCTGACGGAGTGACTGCTCCGGGCGTCGATAAGCCGGGAGATCGCTGACCGGAACCCCAGCCGTCCTCGCGAGCTGATCGGATGTCGAGCGGGGCCAGAGCTGCGCCGCTGTTGCCGTAGATGGACTGACCGCGGACGCCGCCGCCCATGAAGTTGCTACGGCGTCGCGCATCGCCCTTGCCGATGCTCTCCACCCGGCGCAGCCCGCCGCCTGCCGAGGACGGACCCTCGCCATTGGTCGGTACCCGATGCAAGTCGCCGGAAGGATCCTCATGCAAGAACATCGACTTCCGGTACGTGCCAGGTCCGACGCTGTCAATCCGGCTGCGTCGTGTCGGGTCGGATCCTTGGGCGTAGCGTCCAGACCTCGACCGGCTGAGGGCTGGCGGTGGGCCCGAGTTGGCCGCCTTGCCCTGACGCAGGCTGGGCTGCCGTGGAGCATAACCGTTCGGATTCCCCGAAGGCCCCCGCGGCAGGCCGTCGCTGAGCTGACCGTAGTCGAATCGCTGCCCCGGGCGGAAGCCAGAGCCATCGGGAGCGGCCGATGAGAAACTTGGGCCCGCAATCGGCGCATCCAGCGAAGTCTGATTCTCGAGGTGAGGGTGCTGCGGCTGTGCGCCTCTGCGGAAAGCGGCAGGAGGGCCGGGGAAGTTGACGCCGCTGCTCTTGCCTCGCGTATGGGTCTTGATGCTTCTGGGCGGCGTATCGAGCGAAAGGTCCGCCGAAGAATCGCCGTAATGACTGTTGCCACCCATACCCATCGGAGACGCCGCTCCTAACAGGTTCGTGGCGGGAGCATCCAGCGGGACGGTATCACCGATGCCGCGAGCGCCGTATCCGGCAGCCGAGGGCTTGAACATGGCCTGCGGATTAGCGCGATGCCGTGCCTCAGATCGCGGTCGGTTGACAACCTTGCAGATGCCCGATATCAACACGAGCAATATGAAGATGGCGATCAGACCGCCCAGGACGATGATGACATCGATCGGCTGGATACCGGAACGATTTGCCGTGTTAAAGAGGTCCGCCCGCTTGACGAAGCTGCGCGTCTCGGTGATCACCGGCTCAAGAGGTTCTTGGACGGACGGCGGAGGAGCCTGACGGATGACATGCTTGACAAAGCGCCGTGGTAGGCCTGCTTCAAGCATCATGGCGATCGGTCGAACGTCTCTGTGATGAGCGGTAGCGTTGTGGTCTTTAAACAGGCTTGCTCTGGCCTACAAGGGCTGGCAAGCTTGCGGTTGGCCAGTGGGGTAGACTGGTCTTGAGGCGAGCTCTCGAATTGCACAGAGCTACCAGGTCCGCGAGAATTCGAGCGTAAGCTGCGAGCACAGCGAGGCTAAGCTCTTGAGCTCGTCAATCGGGTCCCTGGTAGACCTGGCGCCAGGGTTTGGTGCGATGGATTGGGCTGTTGGCCTGGAGACCTTCGACACGGCCAGCAAAGGATGCAGACGGCCGGAGGGCGATGCGGCCGACCTTGTCGAAGCGGTACTGGCAAGAGTCTGCCGTCACCTGGTTGCACTGGAATACTATTTTGGTCGAGGCGAAGGGTCCGGCGAGTGGGAAGGACGGCTGCCGTCGTTGCGAAAGAAGGATATATAAAGGAATGTGATCGAGCCAGAGGCGACTCCTTGGGGCTCGCGGGGGGAGGTATCGCAGCAAAGCGGAGGGTGGGATGGAGCTGAGAGTTGACAGGGGTTGCGACGCTGCGACTGTGTTGGACGGTCGAAACGCCGCAGAAGTCGACCCAGTCGAAGGCTGCGGGCGAGGGTGACAAGGGGCTGCTGGTCGAAGGCGAAGTACAAGGAGCGTGGTGAGAGAGCAGCAGGGGTCCTAGGCTGAACGGTCGGAAGGATCAAGCCGAGTCCGTGGGCGCAGCGTTCTGTGGATGGCAAAGGCGGAAGCGGGCCGAGAACGGGAGGGAACAACGTGAGGAGGCGCGATGGAAGAAAGCAAAGAGGGGAGGTTCGAGGCGGAGGAGAGGAGAGGGGGGGATGCGTGGATGGAAATGGCGAGAGCGGCGGAAGCGCCTGGCTTGATGGCGGTGGCGAAGGCGACGATGGGAGATATCGAAAGAGAGAAAGGGGTGGGGACGGTGTTGATGGCGGTGGTGAGGAGAGAGGGGCGATGGCGAGCCCATCGACCCAGCTCGGAAACGAGCGAGCGGGGCGGCACGGGCGGTGTCGCTGGCGCTGCGAGCCAACAGCACGCAGGCCAGCGGCAGGCGGCTGGCAGCAGACGGCAGGCGGGCAACCTCGCACGCGCTGGCCTGGCTGGACAAAGCTGGCAGCAGCACCAGCAGGGAGGCAGGTGCGCCTACACTACCTACGAACAGCGCCCGCGCAGGCGCGTACGTGCAGCTGAATTGCGACCCGGGCTCGCCCACCGCCTGGCCAGGCTCGCCAGCCCCCAGCCGGCCGTGGGGCCCTGGCCGTCTGGCGCGCTCGCAGGAATCGAGGCTCGAAAAAAGAAAAACACCCGCCGCCGCCGCCCGCCCGCGCCGTACCGCCAGGCCTCTCGATCGGCCACAGACGAGCAGTTGACCAGAACAGATGATGATACAAAGGCATCGCGGCTTTCCTCATGCCGGTGCCCTGGCAAGCTTTGTCCAGCGGATTCTTATTGATGGCGAGCATGACCTACCATACTACAGTCTACTTGTACAATGGGTCGAGTGCACCTGAACCTGCGAGCCGCGCAGCTGCCCCGGCCAAATAAACGAGGCAGGCGCGGACCGGTTGCAGTGGCCTGGCCCTGCCCTGGCTGGCGGTGGCGGCGGCGGCGGCGCCCCGCGACAAAAAAGGAAAAGACGAGCGAGCAGACGCGGGCAGGAAACCACAACGGCCAGCAGGCATGCCAGCCACGCCTCTCTCTCTATCTCGTGCTCTTTGCTGAGTGCGCTGCGCTGCGGTGCGGTGCAGTGGCTGAAATGCGATGCGATGCGGCGCAGCACGGATCGTCGTTGCACAGCGCCCTCGGGCACCGACGTGTGTGGTCTCTCGCGCACACACAGGTAGAGGCCGGGTTCCTACAGCACGCGGCGTGCTTTGTCAAACGACAACGACGCTGACCTGCGGCAACGAAGGAACAAAGAGCGAGACGATGCTCTCTCTACCGGCCTGTTCCTCTGAGGAGAAGAAGTTCAAAGAGAGAGAGAGAGAGAGAGAGAGAGAGAGAGAGAGTCGTTGACGACGAAGTATCCGTCTGCACTTCACATGCTGATCCCATTGCCCGCCGAGGAGGCGTCAAGATCCTGAGGCTGAGAGGCGATCGACATGATGGTTCGGTCCGCGTCGTTCATGTGCCCGTCCGCTCGTCCCACCTCGACCTCTGACTCCGCCCCGCGCAGTTCAGCTAGAGCACGTAGTCGGCCGGCCGGCCGGGCTGGTGAGCACACGGTCCGTTTCGGCATCACGAAAATCCGACAACAAGCAGCCCCCGCCTCACAGCCACAGGTAGGCCGGGCTGGCTGCCGTCGGCCGCATCCCTGGCGAAGCAAAGCATGCACAACGAAACCCTGCCTTCCGCGTGCCTGCCTGCCTGTCTGCTACCGCTCCGGTTCGCCTGGCTGCAGCGTGCACGCCGGCGGCGAGACGAAAGGGGCGCCCGACGAGGCGGGCAGGAGCAGTCGGGGGGTCTATTTTTGACCACGTTTTCCCGACGGGTTGCACCGGCTGAGACTGCCAGGCCAGCAATGGCCTCGAACAGTTCGAGGCAACACATACACACATAGCGCTTCAAGAATGAGGATGAAGCAATGTCAAAGGTAGGTGCACGGCTAGTTCAGCCCGTCCTTGTCCTGCCCGACACAGCGAGCACAGGCAGAAGAGGCTAGGTCAAGGACGTTGCGGGGAGGACGCAAGCAAGCGCAAGAGGCTGGGACCAAACAGGTAGGTGCGAAGGGGGGGCGGACTTGACCCGGCAACGCCTGCAGCTCGGCGCATCGAGTGCCCGCATACCGAGACCAACGCGCCTCGCTCGAGTCGCCCGCCCGATCGCGTATCGACGCCGATTCAGCGCGCGCACGACGGGGAGGGGCTCGGTTTCGCCCTGTCGCACATCTCCGCCCTTTGTGCGCACGTCGTCGATCTTCTAAAGCAGATCCATAGAGGAAGAGTGAGATGTAAACACGTCTGGTCCCGACCTCAGCTTGGCAGTCGAGAAGAGCCGCAGGATGCCAAGCCGGCCCTCGGACGGGTATTCCATCGATTCCGACCCGAGCCTCGGGGTCGCCGCAGGTCGCCCGGTCAAGCAAGATGCCGTACTACTGGTGGCAGCTCCTTGTACTGTATCACCATTGCCTCTTCCGCCACCATCGAGCCTCTCGCTCGCTGCCCCTTTGCCCGTATAGGTATCAGCTAGAGGTAAGTCACCTGCGTGCCCCTGTGATGTTGGCCAGCGACGGGAACCCATCAAGGAACGAGTCAGCAGGCGCCCTCATCTCCGGCCAAAGACGTTGCTGCTGGTTCTCGAACTCACATCCTGACGGTGTCCGCCAACTTCCTCCAGATCAGCATCACCGGCCCAAGGCCATATGTCGATGCCGAGCCACTGCCACCGCCATTGACGAGTCGGTTGCGGGCATTGCGAGCGGCGGCGCTCTCTTGCCTTCGTCCCTTACCAGCCGCCGCATTCGATCCGGCTGCCGAGGACGATCCCAATCTCCCGCCACTTCCTCCTCCACCGCTCAGCAGCGGCCGACGCACTGCGCGGTAAAAGACGAACAGCATCACGATGGCCGTCAAGAGGTAGGAACGGGACTGGGCGTTGCGAAGGTCGAAGAAGCTCTTGAGTGTCGTCAGCAGGCCCGCCGCCGCCGGTGCAGATCTGCGGCTTGACTCGACCGAGCGCGGCTTCGACCCACCACCGCCCGTATTCTCGATGTAGCGCGAGAGGTGGGCACGCGTCGAGGCGTATGAGCTTTCCTCCACCGCAGGCTCCTTTGCCTTGTTCTGACGGTCGCCGGCACCGTTGTTGCCGACACCATGGCTTCGTGGCCGGCCCGAGGCGTTGGCATCGCTGGCCTCGCCATCCGTTCCGCCGCCGCTGCCGTGCGAGGCGCTCCTGACGCCGCTGCGAGGTCGAGGCGCAGAGCCGCTGCGCTTCGCGGCTGCGCCCTGACCCGCGGTGCCATCATCCGCGACCGATCGAGCGGAAACTGACGGCGACCCGGCCGGGCTGGCGCTGGTCGACGACGAAGACGAGCTCGATCCGCGCGAAGACGAAAAGTAACCGGCGCGCGAGCCCGACTCGGAGCCAGAGGACGCATCGCCGTGGCCAGAGCGTCGGCTACTGCTGCCGGGTCTCTTCTTGGTCGCACTCGCGTCGTCGCCGCGCAGGAAGCTGCCGACGCCCTTGACAAGGTCCTGGGCCGCCTTGCTTGCACTAGCCGCCTCCTTTTCCGCGGCCGCCCTTCTCGCCCTTTCGTCCTCGTAAGCCTTCTGCGCTGCTGCCTGGAACTCAGACTCCCGTTCGGGCCTCGAGAGGACATGGGCATGCGCGACATCGAGCTGGTCGAGCAGAGCCTGCAAAGACAGGACAGGTCAAGGGTACGAAGAGTGGCGCCCACACATCAGAAGAAAGATCGCACGCAAAAAGAAGCGCGGATCTTCCCCGCTTGGCTCGGCGAGACTCACCAGCTTCTTGTCCTGCTCGAGGCTAGAGTAGCCGACAAATTCGCGCGCATATTCCCACTCGTCGAGCCGGGTGGCCAGAATGTGGACCGCGTAGAGGTCGACGACCTTTTCGTAGGCGGTCGACGCCCTCTCCGTCGGACCCTGCGGACCGACGGTGGATGAGTAGGCGGCGAGGTACCACTCCGAGATGAGCCTGGCCGACTGCGTGCCAACAGAGCCGCGGGTATCGATGTCGTCAAGCCGAAGCGACGCTAGAATGGCCGCCGAGACGACCGAGGCGGGGAGCTCGACGGCGAGCGGCAGCGTCTCGGCCGACGGTTCGAGGCTGGGCACATCGACGTCGGAGTGGGTCTGGGAGCACATGCGCAGGGCCTCGAACCACAGGTGCGAGATGAACTTGGCAGGTTCGCGGGAGAGCAGCGAGAAAAGCTGCTTGGCAGCCTGAGATGGTGAAGTGGCCGATAGCGGGGTGCCAGTGCCCGAATCGCCGGATGCAAGCTGCGAGAGCCTGGACGTGATTGTCTTGCGCTGCTCGACATCGCTGAGGATCGAAGTCAGGACGGTGAATCGGAGGATGACGAGCTTTTCGCTGAGACGGGCCAGCTCGACCTCGGTATCTGCGAGGTTGCCAGTCGAGAGACTTAGGCCGAGATTAGGCGATGCGACGAGGACGTTGGCGGCATACTGGCTCTCTAGCAGGGCGGTAAGGTGATCCTTCTGCAAGAACGCGCGGGCGGCCCTGGCGTAGTGGTGCCTTGCCTGGCGAGTGCGCGAAAGGGTTTGACTGTCGCTGACGGACGAGGTGGATGAGCTGGGCCTCTTGAGCTCCGCCGCCGAGGCGGTCAGGGAGTCGTGATTCTGCTGCATCGCAGGCACGAGATGGCTAGACGCTTTCGTCCGGAGAGTCGAGGATGATTGGCGGACAGCCGGTCGTGGATGGTGGATATCGTGAATGGTGAATGATAGTGGAAGGAAGGCAGGGGACGATGGAAGCAAGAGTCAGGAAGCCAGGGCGGGGGCGAATGGCCCGATCCGGGCACCGAGGAAGTGTCAGCTGGCGTGAAACGCGGGGCCTGGCAAGGCAGCCGACGAGGCGAGGCGCGGCGAGGCTTTACACAGAGCGAGATGCAAGCTCACCCGCCCCGGCTACACCGGCCAACCGGGCTGCGCTGACCGGCCGCACGGTTCAGAGCAAGCCAAAGACGTGAGAGGGGCCCGCGTCCCGAGGGACCGCGCCAGCACGCCTGGTCAGCCGCCACCCTCCTACCACCCACACCACCAACCGCCTCTCGTTGCGTGCTTCCTACCACGCGTCATCAAACGCTGAACGAGGCAAGGAAGGGATCACAAGGACATTCTCGAAACTCGCACGTATACTCATGGGTCGGGCAGGCGAGTGAGTTAGTGGCTCGTCGGTCACAACGGGCAGTCGTAAGTCTTCTCTGTCTGGCAAGCTGCTACGTCCGACTACAGTGCGATCGAAGCCTTGGCAAATGGCACCACCTCGACTGGCCCGACAAGGCCGTAGCTCTGGTGGCCTCGCTTGACCCTGCCTTCTGCCAGCTTACGCGCCCGCGTGTATCCCACGCTCATGACGAGGTTGTCGTCGAGCGCGTTGAGGGCATTGAGCAGCGGCGTCGCCACTTCAATCCGGATCGTGTTGCTGCCCTTCTTGAGGTACCTCGAGACGTCCTGCTTCGGCGACGTCGGATCAAAGGTCGGGAGGAGCACGTCGTTGATCCACGTCTTTTGCGTGTGGTAGACCAAGGGCTGGCGCAGCTCAGCGCCCACCGTGTCGTCGTTGCCGGCGAAGCCCCAGTCAAAGGTCGAAGTGTACGTGCCGACGCCCGAGGTATTGTAGTGGCCGTCGAGCTGGTCCCACGGCACCAGCCCGTTGGGCAGTGGGACGTTGGGATGCGGCGTGATGTCCGTCTCGACACTGCTCAGGTTGCTGCTGGGTGCCCACGCGTCAATGGAAAGTTCCCATTGCTTGACCTCGACCGCTTCGGCGCCGTGCAGCGAGAAGTCGAGAGTCCCTCCCGTATTATCACTGCCGCCGCCGAGCTTGTAGCTCCTCTGACCCTCGCCGAAGAGCTGCGCCTCGATCCTGTCACCCCGAGGCGCCACCTGCACCCGAACGTCGCCGTCGATGGACTCGAGCAACCTCTGGGGAGCACGAGCATCCTGGAACACCGATGCGGTGGTGAAGGCGAACATCGCCGTCTGGTTCGAGGCCAGCTCCAGGCCGTTGATCGTCACCGAGTCGCCACCTTGACCGCGGACCATCTGCGCCAAGGACCGGGTCGTGCCCGTACGCTGGTCGAGAAGGAAGCCGTGAGCTTTGCTCGCCGAGGGCACCTCGAATGTGACGTTAAAACGGCGGGGCGCACCCGAGTTGAACACGTAGTAGAGTTCCGACGACTTGGCTGAGCCCTGGCCGCGGTCGTGCCTCCTCAAGACGACCAGAGGATCGTTCGGGTTCTTGATCGTGCTGGCGTCCGAGACGACGGCGTCGGTAGAGTTGGAAGCAGCCGAGGGGGTGACGTCGAGCTCTGCGAGCGCAGACGCCACTTCGGACTCCTGGGCGACGCTCTTAACATTCTTCAGCCCGAGCAGCGTCTGCACCGCCTTTTGCACCTCGCCTTTGCGAGTTCCGTTGGCATCGAAACCGGGCACGTCGCTGGGAGCGTCGCCAAGCACGACGACCGGCAGGCCGGCCTGTGCGTAGTCGAGCACCGTGCGGATGCCGGCCACGGTGATGTTGCTGGCCCGATTGAGCACGAGGGCCTTGTATGCCGGGCCATCTGGATCCAGCCTTCCGTCCTTGACCTTGGGCGCGGTCGCCTGCAGCGCCAGAGCGCTCACGTAGTCGTATGAGTAGCCAGCCTCCTCGAGGGCCGGCGTGGCGAAGACGACGTGCTTTTGAGTCTTGTCTGGCACGGCTCGCAGGTCCCACCCGTACCGGAGGACGACGACGTCGAGCTTGCGCGTGCCACGGCGGAGCAGCCACATTTCGCGAGCCAGGATCTCCATGTACTGGCCGTAGTGCTTCCAGCCCGGCTGCCGCGGGCCGTGCATCTCGGAGAACTCGTAGACAAACGGCGTGAGGCCAGGCCACGAGGTCTGGACGTAGTTGGTGCTCGAAGGCAGGCCGTGGATGATGATCTGGTTGACGCCACCAGCAAAGGCGAGGCGGCTGTCCTGGAACAGCTGGATCATGCGGAACTCGTACGCCTCAAATCGTCCGGCGCCCATCTCCGACGAGAGGATGTCGCGGTGGGCCAGGTTGACGCCTCCGGTAAACTGCCGGATCAGGTCGATGGATGGTTGGCCGAGGCTCTCGCACTCGGGTACGTCGGCCACTGTCGAGCTGAGGGAGATGTCGAGCTGGAAATTGTAGGCCGGCTGGTCGGAATAGGCCATGCCCCTCTTGCGAGCCCACTGCGCAAGGTGGCGCCCATACTCTACGTACAGCCGGGTCAGGGTCTCCTTGAAATCGTTGCGGAAACGCTCCGAGTCGATCGTGGCTCCATAGTCGAGCACCTTTTTGGGGGTGTTGGCCCCGCCGAAGGGACGGGCGCCGCCGAAGAGCGCGGGAAGAGCGTAGGCAATCGGGTAGCCGTGGTCCTTCTCGAACTCGGCCCGGACCTGATCGGTCCAGTAGAGCTGTGCGCGGAACTCGTTGGAGTCGGTCCAGATCGACTTTCCGACGCCGTCTTTGGCCAGAGCCTTGGCGGCCTTCTTGAGGATGACGTCCTCGTTGGCCTCGATGGCGATCTGGGCGCCGGCGAGAGAGAAGTGGTCTTGAATGTACGAGCCGTAGGAGCCCGGTTGTCCAGGGATCGCTCCGTCGAAGCCGGGCACCGCCTCCGGGTAGCCGTTACGGCGAGAGTAGAAGGAGACGATGACGCTGTCTTGGCCGGCGGGGGCAGTGTAGTTGAACGGCTTGCCGTCCTGCGCAGCACCTGAAAGGTCGACCAATGTGGACCAGTCGACCTGCAAGGCCGGCGCGCTCAGGTTGGCGCCCGGCACAAGCTGGACTGCTACGGCACCCTCGAGCTTGCGCTTGGTGATGGGCGCGGTGAAGTTGACGAGACCGTCGTAGCCCGTGACGGGCACAATCTGCGGCTCCGGCAGCGTCGTGGCGGCGTTGCTGGATCCGGCCGCAATGGGCTGAGAGATGCCCAGAACGAGCTCGGTGTTGAAGCCGGGGCGATCGACCTGATCCGGTGGTACGGGGACGCCGGCAGCCTGGTTGGGGCCCATGGCCCAGTCCATGACCATGCCGTGCTGGCGTGCGGCCTCGACGTAGTCGACGAAGACGTCGGAGAAGTGGTCGCTGCCGAAGGAGCATCGAGTAGGGTCGAGGAGGGTGGGGCCTCGCTGGCCGTAAGATTGGTAGCTGAGGAGTTCGAAGCCTTCGGAGCCTACGTCTGCCATTGCAGCGACGTCGCGCTGGAGCGCGGCGTCTTCGAGGCAGGCATCCTGGATCCAGTGGCGCCAGCGTACGCCAGCCCTTGGCGAGGAGAAGCTGTCGTTGCGAGCACGGCGGCCGGTGAGTTTGGCAGATGCGGCATTGGTGCGGGCGTGGGTTGCGCTGAGAACTACCGCTGCGGTCAGCGAGAGGAGCGAGATGCCGGGCAGGCGTGGCAGCATCATGGTTGCTGCTCGAGGGGGGCAAAGGTGGCTGAAGGGGACAGAGACGGGGAAAGAGCCATTGTGCAAGCTCTGTTCTTATAGGCATGGCGAGCAGCTGTTTGAGGGTCAACCGTGATGTCCCGGAGGACGGTGGGCGTCCCAGCCGCGCGAGGTTGGAGGTCAGGTCAGGTCAGGTCAGGCCAGGCCATGTTGCGCGACGGCTCTGATCCGCAACAGTGGAAGCCGCAGCGGGTCCGCAAGCAGGCGACGAAGGGGAACGGAGATGGATGGCATCGTCGCCTAACCACGACCAGAGCTCGGCTGTGGTGATGCTGTGGGTGCAAGACATACGGCGGGCGTGGCAAATTGCCATTGGGGCCATGCTGAGGGACTTGTCCATACGCGGGTGGGTTGACCGGCAGCCACGGCCCTTTGACGATACGTATGGCTGGGGCCAGGAGGGGAAGCCAAGCAAGCTAAGGCGAGGGCTGGCGTGGCGACTTCCGTGATGACACCTCCCCTGTATGTTTCGAGATTGCCGCAAAAGGCACGCACGGAGCTGCCGGCCTGCCTGTCTTGCTTGCTTGCAAGGCGAGGACCTCGGCAACGGATCATCGTCTCCCCCACGCCAAGCGGCAACCCGAGGCGAAGCGAAGTGAGGGTCTTGCGGGGCACCGCGGATCTGAGGCCCAAGCAAGCAGCAAGCTAAGTACGTAGCGCTGCCACCGGCTCATGGCGGAGCAGATGATGGGCAGGCAGAGGCCGACGTATGGGGTCAACAAAGAGGTGGCCGGCAATGGCGATGCATGCCTGCCTCTCTCGCGATTCGTATCCGCGGCAGTTGTCAGGGCCAGACAGGTCTTAGGGGGACAGGCAGCAGCCGCGGCCATGGTTGGTCAAGTTGGGCATGATCTGCTGAGAGCTAAACATGGCGGTCAAAGGTCGACTGTACTTTAGTTACATTCTAGCACACAAGAGGTTCGGTAGAATGACCGTGAGTCGTCGTGGTTCATCTTGGTGGTGTCGAGAGACGAGGGCAGAGGTGCTTGGTGCCAGCGTCGACTGCCAGGGCTAGGCAGGCAGGCAAAGCACGACGGGCGCGCGTCGGCCAAAAACGAGGTCGGCAAGCTTGGCGGCGCATTGACCGCCCGAACCCGCTCTCGCCCCTCGTGGCCCTCTGGTTCCTTTGCTCGGCACCACCATCCCGTACCGACCGCCCTCTCGGTACGGCCTCTCCCCGCCATCATCGTCCCGTCGTCGTGCCGCAGGACCACGCAGCCTCCATGGACCAACTCACCTCAATCGGTAGCCGGCAGGCCCTCGGCCGCATCACCGAATCCTTTCTCGCACGGCCCACGGCCAAGCAGCGCATCTACACCAAGCTCGTGAGTACCACCCTAGCTACCTGCCCGGACCGCAACCGATGCCGACAGCCGCAGCGCACTCGAACCCCCCATTCACCCCGCCATATCGGTCGGCTTGGTGTTCCGCTGCAGATGAAGAGCACCGACAACCGATTCCAGCAGTACTGCGACCACCTCACCCGACAAGAGTGTCATCAGGCCAAGCTCTCGACCGCCTCGACATCCACTTCGGCTCCACCTCCCTGTCAAAAGGTGAGCATGCCGCCCAGCGCATGCGCCCGGGGGCCGTATAGAGAGACGACTATTGACGATCCGGGTGCCGATCAATCACCCCTCTGCTCAAACAGCTCCACTTCAGACCAGTCTTCTACCCGCAGACTGACCCTTCCTACGGCCACTGCAGCTACCTCAACACATGTCACCGGACATCCACATGCAAGGTGCGGCTCCCCTCCGGCGCTCTGGATCTGACCGCGCCGCGTGCTGAACCTTTCGACCTGCCGCTCGACCCCCGCCTGCAGTACCTTCACTTTGAACTGGACGCCTCTCCGCCACATGAGGCTTTTGCCTGGCAGACATCGCCAGAGCACCCGTACGAGCCCGACTCGGCCGAGGCAAGGGATGCATCGCTGATCCACCCGTCGCGCATGCTTGCCGAAAAGGGGCTGCAGTGCTGGATCCGCAACCACGACCCCCAAGACGGTGACTTTCGCGACGATGGCCGCATCAGACCGCCCAGCGAGCAGCAGCAGCAGCAGCTTCCGGCACAATGGATCGACTGCGACCTCAAGAACTTTGACTACTCGATCCTGGGCAAGTTTGACATCATTGTCGCCGATCCGCCCTGGGACATCCACATGTCGCTGCCGTACGGCACCATGTCGGACGACGACCTGCGCGCGATGCCCGTGCCGGAGCTGCAGGACGAAGGGCTGCTGTTCCTATGGACGACGGGGCGGGCCATGGAGCTGGGTCGGGAGCTGCTGGGCCACTGGGGCTACACGCGCATCGACGAGCTGATATGGATCAAGGTGGGCCAGACGCAGCGGCTGATCCGCACCGGCCGGACGGGCCACCATCTCAACCACACAAAGGAGCACTGCCTCGTTGGCGCCAAGGTGTCCACCGGCCGGGCTGGGCGGTACCAGGGCGCGGCCCCGCTGGCGGGGGCGTCTCAGCCGTATTTCGCGTCGCACGCCGCGGGCATCCCGCCGCCGCTGCCGCCGTGGGTGCACAGCGGGATCGGGGCCGACGTGATGGTGTCCGAGG